GCGAGAGAGGTTTCTTTGAATCTTTTCCCAAAGAAATCTCGAGAAATTTACGAAAGTGTCTTCCAACTTTTTATGGATAAGTGCAAAGAAAAAAACATTAAGTTGTATTCAGAAAATGTATTGATGGTGTATTTCTCAAACTTAGCAAATAAAATGAAGCCATCAACGCTTAGGTCACAATATTCAATGTTGTGGTCAACGTTCGATATAAAGAAGAGGATTGATATAAGAAAATATTCGAAATTACGTGCTTTTCTCAAGCGACTAAATGAGGGATATATACCGAAAAAATCGGGAGTATTTACAAAGGAGCAAGTAAAAAGCATCTTTATAGATAGTCCTAATATTACGGTTTGCAGGCGCATGCCGTTCTCATGAGTTAGTCAGTTTAACAATTGACAATATTAGATTAGGAATGTTCAATGAAGATTTGAAATTTGCCTTAATTATACAAATTCCCAATGCCAAAACCAAGAGACCACGTTCTTTTACTCTGTTGGGAGACAATTAAAGTTTTCATCGAAAATATGTTGCTTTACGTCCACCCGGATTGGTAGAACGTGGATTATTTCTCAGATATGTTAGTGGAAAGTGTCATCGAATGGTGGTCGCTATTCATAAAATCAGTGCCGTCTCGCAAGAAGTGGCAAAATTTTTAAAGCTGGACAACTGGAAAGAGTATAGTGGACACGCATTACAACGAATGTCTACTACCCTTTTAGTTGACGGCGGTGGTGATCTCATTTGTCTGAAAAGACACGGAAGATGGAGATCGAACACAATGGCGGAAGGCTACATTGAAGACACGCTTTTAAATAAAGAAAATATTGCGAAAAGAATATTGAAAGTTGATAGTGGTAATGCTAAACCAAGAGAGAGAATTGCTCCAAGAATGGGGGTAGTTGCAGTTTCAGTGGTTTATTTAATTTTAATATTTGTTCATTTAATATAAATGTGGATATAGAAAAATTATTCTAAATATTGTTGAATAAACTTTTATAAATTAACACTCGATTAATACTTTTAATCTAAGGATTAAAAATGTTCACTTTAGCTCTTAGGGTTAAAAGTGAATATTTGTGTTGCTAAGATACCATTTTTTTCTCTGTAAGGAAGATGTCAACCTTAAAGACTTAGAGACAAAAAATGTTATAATTTTGTGACGGTTGGAGAAAAAATTATTTATTTTCTTATAAATCAAGTTTATTTGTGAATTTTCAAATTGCCAGCGCGTCTCAATGGAGAATATTACTTGCATTTTTTAAAAAGTTTTCCACAACTCCTCGAAGGTATTCTATTGTATGATGTAACATGTGGATTATCTACAATGGATTCATACTCCTAGAGGAGGCTAACCCCAAATAAAAAAGAAATTCGCCCGAATTTCGCTTAGGTACATACAATTATCCCAAATCTTGAACTCTGGCTGGTCAGAGCGAAAACGACAAACACCCCTATAGGCCAGCATCATTGCCACCACCAAAACCAATTAGTCAGTATTGTTTATTTTCCACCCAATTTTGGTTCCAAGAAATCAGTGAAGCCAACCAAGTATATCCAAGATTTTGTTAAATCAAACAACATTTTTTACAAAACTTTAGAGCGATATTTATTTTTGAGTTAAAAAATCCATATTTCGAAACCTAGTTTTCCAATAGGTATTATCATTTCAGTTCATTTCACAAAACTGAGTCAAATTTTAAAGCAAAATTGTGAACAAAATTTTGCTGTCCTGCATTTCTCTACATTTTTGAGTAATAGAAAATTCCTCTATGTGTTTCCAAATGAGAGATTAAATTTTGAAATATCTACTAATAATCAATTCTTAGTCACAAATTTTACTCAATACTTACCTTACTTATATATCGTTTTCTAGAATTTATTAATAATATCATAAATTTAACTTTTTTTAAATAAATTCTCATAAGAAAATACATTGTGGCACTTCTACTGAAGTAAATCTGATCAAAATTGAAAAGAAAAACAATTCCAAAATTTCTCTAATTTGTCTCCGGACATACAAACAACTAAATTTTCATACTCACTATCATTTGACTCTCTGGATGTAGAAGCCGATGAAAATAAACAAAAAATAAAATATATTCTCTTAATTCGAAATCTAATCGGCGAACCAAAGGAAGCCAGGGAAAGTGTTCTTTGTTCCAATGTTACAGTCTGTGACATCTGGGAGAAAAGCAGAAGAAGAAACTATTTATAAGACAATCGGCTGGAGTGGATTCAATGGCCACTACGTAGTCCTGATCTCAACCTACTAGACTTCTTTTTATGAGAATACCTGAAGAAATATACAGCGTTGAAAAGAGGTGCCATCGAAGATACAGATAACTTGCACAAGTGTCGGGAAATTGAATTCGACGCGCTCTACCGTATGTTGAAAAGAGAGGCAGCATTTTGAACAATTTTTGTGATTTCGTTGAATTTTTATACATAATATACATGGTGTCCCGCATAAGAACCGATACAGGCAGGTGCATTTAGGGGTGTCCAACATATTGTAATTTAACCAAACTTACCTATATACAAAGTTGCACCCCTGAAGAGTTATTAGCCCCCAAAGTGGGGCCCTAAACTTGGAAAAAAATAATATCTCTGCAACACTTTACCGTAGAAGAACCAAATTTGGCACACGATTTCGGTTTATTACTGGTCTTCTTTGACTATGATTTGAAGTTAATAGAAGCACTACAAGATGTTCATTGGGGAAGTCTCACCCCTAAAATTGTACCCAACATTTTTTTCATTGACCGAATTGAAAAATAGTAATATTGAGGGTTGCTTTCGCTGTACAGCAAGAATAAAACGCTCTCTCAACGGTAATAATAAAGTGTTTTATTGAAAACTAAGTTGTATAGAAAAAGACGTGTTGACGGGGTGAGTGTTCGTTGGAGAATCCCTGTGTGTGGAGTCGGTCGTAGGTATATGGTATATGGATCACTTGCAACATGTTGTGCAAATCATTACTTGTCTTATCAATTTCGACGTCACCTGTTACATGGGTGTTGTATAACAATGAAAAAGTAATATTAACGGTCGGTAGAAGGAAGCACAAAAAACAAGCACTTAGGGGGGAATTCTGGAAGGAAGCCAAATTAGTTGAAGATAGTTAGTTGAAGTGAGAACAGTGTGCAGATAGGTAGCAAGACGATCGGCGGGAAGTGTGTCAAATGAGTGAAAAGTGAATTGTTTAAAGTGTTATTAGTTAGCAGGTAATATTCTTTAAGTTTCTATATAATCTTATGATTGTGATGATTATAGATGTTTCATGATAATAATTCTTTGTAAGTTTAGCTTCCATTTCTTTATGCTCAAGGGCATATATTTTTCTAAGGTAAAATTGTGATAATTATACTTAAAGATTGCCCATTATTTATTTCATGTTAAATATATATATATATATTGTCCTGATTGCCAGCCATTACAATAACGACTTCTTTGTTTCACATTTAACTTGTTTTTGAATGATAACGTTGTTCGAAAAACCTAGATGTTTCATGATAATAATTCTGTGTATGTTTAGCCTTCATTGTCTTACGCTTAGGGGCGTATATTTTCCTAATATAAAATTGTTACAATTATTATTTAAGGTTGTTTATTATTTATGACATGTTCAAATATGTATTTTGTCGAGACCGCCCAGAGAGTGCAATAACGACTTCTTTATTTCACATTTAACTTGTTTTAAACAAGATCATATTGTTCTTTGATTTCTTGTGTCCACTTTATGTCACACGTCTATACGAGCCTTGTTGCAGTTACTAACATTTTCGCCCGTGCGGAACGAATCTGGATTACGCTGGATAGCGTCCCGTATGGGACTCCAGTGTTAAGAAGGATCTTTCGAAATCTCAACTTTAGCTGAGTAGCCTCCCGTATTATGGGACCTCAGTACCTTCCGGCTCTGCCGGCTAACTAACGCCAAATCTCTCCAGTTTTACTTGGAAGTGTATATGACTAATATGGGGTTAACAGATGACATTTAGTGACACATTAAATGAAACAGGACTTATTTATCATTAGCAAAGGTTCTTAATTTATGCCTTTGATTAGCGGTTGTTTTGTATTTATATTTGGATGGTAAGAGCAAAGATCGTGGGTTTCTCTGCCATGCTCTTTCCCCACAGGAGCTCTAGGTGAGCCTGGCACTCTCATTTGCGGTTAAATGGTTGTTAATGTTTTCGTGGTTCTTTCTATTTGTCACATGTTTAATTTGAATTGTATGTAAATAAAGGTTAGGTGTATTTACTCTGCTTTTGTTTTATATAATTAAATCATACATCCCCCCTACAAAGTTAGTAGCCAGCGCCTTCCGGTCAATATAACAATAGATACACACAACGTAGGGATTCCTTATGACGATCACATATTTTTGGCCACAACTACGTTTACTTATTTTTTGTCGAACCTAGGGTTGTTATACTACAATGTGTACCCACAATATTAATTCGCAGCAGAATTTAATTTAAAATTTTTTTTACTCTTGTTAAATTTTAAAAAATGTTATGATTTTCAAGAAAAACCGTATTAACTGAAACAAGATTTTAACAGTGTTTATTGGAAAATAGTCGAAAAGTCAGTAAACTTTTACCAAGACCTTTATCAATAAATAGTGTTTATTTCGAACCCTTAAATTTTCCTCTCTACTTTATAAATTATCTGTATATATTGATTGAATGCAGCGAAGTGATGAAGTGTTATTGGCAAAAAATATGCTTGCATTATCAGTTTAATTTTTATAAACTATCCAGGTTATATTCCGGAACAATATATTCCATTTAAATTATATTTTAAAATTAAGATAAGATTCAATGTTCTCCAATTACTCCAAAATAGTACCACAACAACTTAAAATTTATTAGGAACATCATGAATAAAGTGAACATGGATGATTATAATAATAATGTACATGCGTATATTTGTGTGGACTTGCAGACTGTTACATTACACATGTAAGATATACTTGAAAAAGGTTAGAAATATATATTTACGAGATAATACAAGAATTTCTTTTACCGTGGCGGTCTCTTATTTGCTGAAGATGTTGCAACTGGACGGCTGAAGGGATCATAGCAGCTTGAGAAGGAGTTTGCGGTGGACCCGAGTGTAAAGGCAAGGACTGCCGACGGCGACGTCGAAGGGCAGGACTTAAATTGTACTTCACTTTCGCCTGCGTCAGGAGCTCCTTGAAGACTTGCGTTACGTTGACGTTCTCTTTGGCCGACGTTTCTACGAAACCGTTCTCCCAGTCGACAGTCACTACTGATTCCGTCGTGGCCGTATCCACCTGCGGAAATTAATGTTATTTGTGCTTATTTAACTCATTTTTAAGTCTAAAATGTTTGACTTTTAAATAAATTTGAGTCGGGGCAACTTAACTAAATAATAGGCCAGGAAAAAGAGCTTTGAAATGACTATTTCGCGACTTTTTGTTTCGGCAAGCTGAATTATTACTGTAGATGCTAAATATTATGTACAATAACATATTAGTTTCCATAGTCATAAAAATGGGGGGAAGATTGTTTACAGGCTGGTTAATTGTATAATTTTTACGTAAAAAGGTTTTCCGCTTATAACTTTTTTCCGTTCTTTTCCGCGAGAAAACTATAAAGTACTTTTTTTTCGTCTTCAAAAGACCTACAAAACTAGCCCTCGAGCGTCAAAAAATATTGATTAGATCAAAAGTTATAAACAGAAGAAATTTATTTATGACTTTTGAATTAAACATTTATAAACTGCGTTGTTTTTACCAAAACGTTTTGGAATCGCATCCTCTCATTCCTTATCACTGTCTAATAACTCACACGAAATCTGGAATCGGTAAGTTGAATCGTTTACAAGTTATGGCCTTATAAACAAATTGACTAATTATTAATCTGGACGACTCCGAGTATCTTCCACATTCGCACTGATTTTTTCGTGGTAGATTTCATAACGATACATTGAAATCGCCGAAAAATCAAGCGACCCACTGACTTGACAATAGGCCGTCAACTTTAACAGTATGTAACTCCGTTGTTCTTCAACGAATTTTTTTTAACTTAAAGCTCTTTTCATAAGCTTTCCGGATATGCAATAATATACAGGGTGATTCACAACTTATCCAAAAAAAAATTGGGGATACATGCAGCATGAGAAATGGAATCAATATCGTAAAAAAAAAATTTCTAAGAAAAAAATATTGAAGTTATAGTACATTCAACCACTACATAGCTGGACAACTCTAGTCTCTAGCGTCATTCGCCACGTGGCCTCAGCGACTCCGAATACTGAATTCGGATTTTGCAATCGTCGTTGCGATATTTACCTTTTATCTGTGGTGTTTACAATAGGTTTTTAGTAGTTAGTGTCAAGAATGGGTAGTTCGTGTCAAAAATGGTTTGCGTGTACTCGGAGTTGATGGATATCGTTTTAATTTATGGTGAAGCATTTGTGTTATGGTGAAACAAGACAACATTTGTGTTAGTTCGCAGAAACTGAGTACAACGGACCCAAGTGTGTTTACACATTGGTGGATAAAATTTTGAACAATTGTTGTAACATCGGGTATGTCAAATAATTTTATTATTTAAAAACACAAATTAATTTTATTAATTAATAAAGGCAAAAGCAGTTTACATATTTCTTTCCTTGCGAAAGTTTTTGTCCGTTTTTATCACGCCGCCATGCCGGTCGCATTGTGCGAGGTCAGGTTTTACAGTGGACCAGTTTCCAGTGCCGTGCAGCAGAAGTGTATTTTTAAATCATTTTCGAACTGCCCTTTTTGATTTTTTCTTTACAAAATTGCATTTGTAAGGGTCCCCTGTATATCCAGATTTTTCTTGGATAAGTTCTGAATCACCCTGTATAGCTAGTTGTAATTTCAACGTTGCTCATAGAGGGCACCACTTACAACCAATTTTACCGAAAATTCAGTTAATAACTTTTTACCCTGTATGTTCAACATGAAACTTGATTCAAAACCTGAAAGAGCAATTATTTTTCCATTAATTATGTATTCTTGTTTCATTTCGGTATCTCGATCCGTTTTCGAGAAAAATCGATTTACCGAACACTATGTTTTGATGATGAACAAGTGTTTCTTTGTGTTATTACAACAATTAACAATAAAACAAATAAGATACGTAATTATGATTTAAAGTAATTGTTCGAAGAATCCACCGTTGATACTGATACACTTTACACGTTTTCTGTGAGATCTTCGAGTTTGAAACAACATATTGGGATTGCGTCTGACTTCGTTGGCAGCGATTTATATTCTTTGTCACAACTCTTCGGGCGAGCCAATAGATTCTTTGTATACTATATCTTTCATTCGAGATCAAATAGAAAAATTAAGAGGATTGAAGTGCGGACTTCTGGGTAGCCAACCACAAATACTTACATGGCCAATCCAGCGACTTGGAAAAACTGCATCTAAATATGCACGCACTGGCCGAGTAAAGTGCGGTGGAGCTCCGTCGTGCATGAACCACATGTCTCTTCTTAAATAAAGTGGAACTTCTTCAAGCGGTGGAAGTATTTTTGCTTGGCCACTCAGAAGTCCGGACTTCGATCCTCTTGATTTTTCTATTTGGTCTCGAATGAAAGATAGAGTTTACAAAGAATCTATTGGTTCGCGTGAAGAGTTGATGCAAAGAATACAAATCGCTGACAACGAAGTCAAATGCAATCCCAATACTATGTTTCAAACTCGAAAATCTCTCGGAAAACGTTGTACAAAGTGTATCAGTGTCAACGGTGGATTCTTTGAAGAATTACTTTTGATCATTATTACAAATTTCATTTGTTTTATTGTTAATTGTTGCAATAACACGAAAAAACACTTGGTTTGTTTCGCTTTTAATTTCTCGTATTATCAAAACACAGTGTTCGTTAAATCAATTTTTCTCGAGATACCGAAATGAAACAAGAATACATAATTAATGAAAAAATGATTGCTCTTTCAAGTTTTGAATCAAATTTCATGTTAGACAAACAGGGTAAAAAGTTATTAACTAAATTTTCGATAAAATTGGTCGTAAGTGGCGCCCTCTATGAGCAACGCTGAATTTACAACACGCATCTTATTCGTCGCTTAAAAAAATATAGTTTCACAAATTTTCAAATTCCTAACCTACATATTTTCAGAATAATCGCAAAAAAACGATTTAAAATTTTAACTTTCAACACCCTGTATTTCCGAAACTATCAACTTTCGGATAAGGCATGTTTGTGCCAATGGTCACCATTTCACGTGTAGTATCTTCAGCTTTCGGTTTTCCCATTGTTAATGAATCACCCTGTATATCACCCGCGTGATTCCAGATTTCGTGTGAGTTATTAGACAGTGATAAGGAATGAGAGGATGCGATGCCAAAACGTTCTGGTAATAATAACGCAGTTTATAAGTGTTTAATTCAAAAGTCATAAATAAATTTCTTCTGTTTATAACTTTTGATCTAATCAATATTTTTTGACGCTGAAGGGCTAGTTTTGTAGGTCTTTTGAAGACGAAGAAAAACTACTTAACTGTTTTCTCGGGGAAACGAATGGAAAAAAGTTATAAGCGAAAAACGTGAATTTACGTAAAAATTATACAATTAACCACCCTGTAAACAATCTTCCCCCCATTTTTATGACTGTGGAAACCAATATGTTATTGTACACAATATTTAGCATCTATAATGATAAATTCAGCTTGTTGAAACAAAAAGTCGCATCCAACTCTATATTTCCTGGCCTAATAAGTGTAAAGTAGAAGAAACTCTTTAAGAATCCAAAAACTGTGACGCCACTAAGTATTTTAAAATGAAACAGATCTCTTCTATTTTGACCCGTAAAGCAAGTAATTTTTTAAGTTACCGTTTTTTAGCCTAACTTATGACACTTTTCAATAAATAGAAAATAGGTAAGTATCCTAAAACCATCCAGTTAAAAAAAGTGTAGGAATTTTTTATTGAATATACAGAGTATCCTAAAAGTTCTTTACAACGCTACAAGAAATACTCTTAGAGGCGACGAAGAAATTATGCAAAGAGTATATTTCAATTTTCTTCGTCGTGTAAATTTTTGTGCAAATGGTGGCCACTTTCAAAAGCTACTATAATATCTTTTTTATTTGCATTCAAGTTTTCCTAATTTAATTTTTGTGTTAAAATTGCTTACAATAATTAAAATTACAAATTTCGAATAAACCATGAGAGTAATCGAGTCTTATCAAGAGTAACTTTTTTGTAGTTAATAATTTACTTAATCTAAGTTTTATACTTAAAATTATTTTCTTTCATTGGCATAGAATTATGGAAGGATTTACTAAAAAAACCCAAGTTATACGCTAATGGATTGATATTACTCATAAAATTGATATGGGGTTTACTGTCCTATAGAGTGGTGTAAACTTACCAAATTTTAGCAAAATTGCATAAGGCGTTTTAAATTTATTAAAAAAAAGATTTCAAAATTGTAATTTCAGTTCCGTATACCGCCCAAACGGAGCAACTTTGAACTAAGATAAGTTTAGCTAAATCGACTTATTTTGAGCCGCATTATCTGGTGCAGAGTTGTAAGGACCTTTTAGGAACACCCTGTATAACTAAAAAAAAGTCTAAAAATTTATAGGCCCAGAAATTTGTCTACTGCGGCCCTTCAGAAAATTTAATATTTTACACAAATGCCTTTTTTTAAATTTCCATGCCAGAGTTTTTAAAATTCCTAATAATTACATTATATTTCAAGCCGAACCAACATAAAAGTTTATAATTTTTTTGTGAAATATAATAATTTTCTATTTACTCAACTTACTTACTTTAGACTAAAAAAGTAATAGCTCAAATTACTTGTTTTACGAATTAAACAGATCGAAAGAAGAATTAAGAAGATATTCATATGAAATACAATTGGGAATCGAATAAGTTTTAAAAATTGCCAAAATACCCAGTGTCGTCGAAATTCTGTTTATGTATTAACACAGTTGTATACTAATTAAAACATTTTTTATTTTTATTTAATTTAGTTGGCAGCTGAAATGATATTTATACAGGGTGTTTCAGCTCGAGTGAATCAAACTTTAACCACAAATAGAACTCAATAATAATATTAATTTAAAATTTATTTCCTATTCTTAAGAAATTAAATTTCTTATCAGAAGAACGATCTCCCATTCAAGAGAGATTTTCGGTAAAACGATACCCTGTATCGATTTTCAATAGGTATACCTTTTTCATGTAAAATTGTCGACCGAATCTAAAAATGAATGCCAAATGATTATTAGGTCATTGGCGTAGAAGTTGGGGTAAAAAATCCCGCTTTACTACCCATTCCTACGCCACTGACCTACAAAAATTTGTAAATTTTCCAGTAAATTATGCACATGTGTAAATGTTAACGCTGCACCAAATTTGAATCAATTTGTTACAAACCTAGCAAAGATTTCATAAATACCTAATATGATTTTAAAAATCAACCAATACAGTGAAAACGGTGAGACTTAGACCATTGCTTTATAAGGCAAATTTGAATTATTTATTGAGTTCTATTTGTGGTTAAAGTTTGATTCACTAGAACTAAACTGTATACGTGTATCCCGAAATTAATGCTACAAAATTTGGTCACAGATTCTTAAGACAAATTTAAGGGACCCGTATTTTTTATTTTTGCCCCTCTTTCGGAGTTACAGCCCCCTGAAATTTGCCCCTAGGATTAATTTTTTTATATCTCAGATCCCTGTGGCACGAGAATCACTAAATTTGGTACACAGGGGTTTTATGACATGTGAAATTTGATGGTGCTA